GCGGCAAGCAGGACTTGAGTCCATGTCCCTTGCAGGAGTCAAATCCACCAGCACCTTCTCACTGGAGTGTTTGGTTCCACTTGGATTTGGAAGAACATGTACAAGTCACTTTCCATATTGAATTAAATACAAGTGCTTTTTGTCAGAAGTTCAGCCATAGTGAAAGCTGGAGGGGCTTCCAAGAAAGGAAAGAAGTGTGAGAATTATCAAGCAAGTGCCATGTAATGATTGAAATATAACTCTGTTCCTCCCATGGGGAAAAAAAGAGATGGTCTGAGTCTTAACTGTAATTATGTGTAGATTTTTATATCACAAATTTGCTTTGCCCATGTGAAAAACGTGCGGATTTGAGCACATTTCTAATGGGCTGGCAGGTGCTGCATGACAGGGAGCGCTGGTGCAAGTCCAGGGCAGCCTGGAGTCAAGCGTTGCTTGTGATCCAAGGTGCCTTCAACTAAATGAAAGAGAAAGGAAACGTCTAAACTTTTCCTGTTTAAAGAAAAAAAAAAAAAAGTACTAACTTAACTTTTTGGTTGAGTCATTTCCCCTTTATGTGCGAGAGAAAATACTTGAAAAGCAAGATGGAATTGAAATCTCAGCTTTGAGCCGGGTGTGATTGTCTCCCTGCTTTCAATTTAGAGTGAAGAATGAAGAATTCACATTTGAAGAGGTGAAATAATTCCAAAATTGCCAAGTTTAAAGCCAAGGGGAAGAGAGTGAGAAAAGCTGAGCACTGCATTAATCCGTGGACACAATCTTCCACCAAGCCCCGTTTTCTCGCGTTGGTCGGTGTATGTCCGTGCTGGGAATTGAACCTCTGTCCGGCTCTTTGAAATTTCTGAAACAAATTTAAAAAGTGGAATATTTTGTTCTCCGGCACAAGATCTGGAAGGAGAGCAGCGATCAATGGAACGAGCTGATTAAGGAGGAGTTGCCTTTTTAGGAAAAGTTATTTGAAATTTAACAAGAATAAAAGGAAGAGGGGAGACTCTAAAGGAATTGAGTAGGGTTATGCTGTGTAGGTAGAATTCCTACAGAATGGAGCGGGAGGTTCCCTTCTCTCTCCCCCTAAAGTTTGGGAAAAAAGCATAATAATAATAATTCTGGAACGGATGTGCACTTGTTTGGTTCCCCTGGGGTGGGCCCTGCAGTGTGACCCCCCAGGGCCCTCAAACACAGAGCACTGAGTTTAGATCAAAGGAGTTTCATTGGCCAAGATGGGGCAAGTGGACCAAAGAAGAGAAGAAGGATGGAAGAAAGAATAAATAGGAATTCTTCAAAAAGAAATTAATTTTTGATCTTTGCTTTTAAAAATAATAAAAAAAAAGAGAGAGAGAAAGGGGAGAAAAAAAAAGCCCAAGCCTTTTGGCTGCTTTGTTCTTTTCTCTTGTTAAATATCTATTCTGAGCCGCTTTATCCTGTTTTGTTCTGGCAAATGATTTTTGAAATGTCAGAACTTGACACCTCTTTTGTCGCGGCTTAAGCGGTTCCCTGAACGCTGAAGGAGACCCCCGTGTGCGAGACCGGAATTTTTCCTGCTGTTGGAGCCACGTTGGCTTTGATGGGAATTGGGGAAAGGCGGAGGAAAATCACGCCCCTGCAAAACCCCAAAGAGAAGCAGGCGAAGCCGTCAAGGGGGACAGCATTGCGTGCTGAAGCCGCAGTGCAGCAAAGCAGAGGGTCCGTCCTGCCTCGCTGGGGGCTGCGGGGTCGGCGCTTTCGGTGCTTCCTTCCTCCGTTCCGCTGGTTGATGCACCTTGGTGGTCGCTTTACCTTGGGCCCTAAGTATTTCCCTGCAACGGGGTTTTACTGCGCTCCCGAATGGGAGACTTGTCCCAAGGCCCTTGCAGGGGGGCGCTGCTGATTTTGGGTGCTCCCCCTCTCGCGGACATCGTGGTGGCTCCAACATGAGCAGGTAGACCAGAGCGTTTCTGTGGGGCTGCCGCCCGCTCGGCCGAGCACCCGCGGCGCCGGCGCGGGGCAGTCTGAGCCTCCCGGGGTGCCCCAGAGCCGCTCCGGGGCTCGCGGCCCCCGCGCGGGCCCC